ATGCAAAATAATAATTTGGAAGAACCAGGATATGTTTCTAATAGACAGTATTATAAAACTAGTAGAGTCTCACTGTTTCTGTTCTTGGAAATCATATTAGACAAATATAACTATTTACTTCACTTACTTGATGATATAATTATTTCTTGTAGTAATCTAATTTTTATAGATCTAAACATTTCCTTTAGCCCACCACAGCATTGTCAGAAGTGGTTCTACAGTGCCTTAAGATCTTTATAATCTGAATAATGCAATCTAAATATTGATATATTATTATAAAGCTTAAGAGAACCTTTTAGTTATACTTTATTATTAGGGAGGAAAGATACAGAGTAATAATTTTGTGCCTGCTCATAACACAGATACTAACTTAAACATAATAGATTAAAATTATGATAATTCTATTTAAAATAGTGTGATAAAAAATCTGAATTTCATGGCTTTCGAAGGCATGATTTTTCAGTGAAGAAATGTGCAAGTATGTTAGGTGTCAGCATTTTGTTTTCTCTTTGTATACTTTTCTGTATACAGCTCCCACATCATTAAGCTTCTATCTTCAAAATGAAGTTTCTTTTAGAAGGTCTATGAGAATTATCTATGTAACAATTGACTTACTCCTATTAGTCACTTCTTCAGGATACGAACAACTTCCTGACAACTTCCTAGATTTTAAAGAGCCTTTTCTGAGACTACATTTCCACTTGGGCAAAGCTAAAAATTAAAAGAAAACATTGCACAAATACCAATACTTGCTTTTAAGGTTAATGAGTTTTATGACAGTAGTGGGAATGACTGGAAATATCATCAATTTTTCTTCTTTATTATGCTGATTCAAAATTTTCAAGCTCCCTAAGGTAAAGACTCACAGAAATGTTTTTTTTCCCTGAATAATTACCCTATGCATTAATCTCAACATGATTTAAAAACAAAAATAGAACAAATATGCTTCTGTAGAAATGACTGCTATGGATCAAGTTGGTGATACTGCTATTTTGCTGCAACTAAATTGGATAATAAGCTTTTATTTAGGGAATGATTTAGTCAGCTTTTTCTTTGATGTAACTAAAGGACCTGACGAGAATAATTTTAGAAGAGGAAAAGTTTATTTGGGGGCTCATGGTTTCAGAGGGCTCAGTCCATAGATCACCAATTCCATTCTTTGGGGCTCATAATGAGGCAGGACATCATGGCAGAAGAGTGTGGCAGCATGGAGCAGTTCACGAGATGATCAGAGAGCAGAGAGATTCCACTCTCCAGTTACAAAATATACAAAATATACCCTAAAGGCATGCCACCAATGACCCACCTTCTTCATTCACACCTTACTTACCTGCCTTCAGTCATCACTCAGTTAATCTCATCAGAGGATTAATTCACTGATTGGGGTTAAGGTTTTCATAACCCAGTCATTTCTCCTCTAACCCTTTTTGCATTGTCTCATACATGAGCTTTAAAAAGGGAGACATCTCACATCCAAACCATAACAGGGAGTAAGGTTTGCATGCAGTTAAGATTTGGATTTACTGAGAGACATTAAAACCAGGTGTTCTTCCTCTGTTCAATCCCTTGTTGCTTTCCACCTCTAGCTTTAGCTCTACTCTGTATCTATCTACGTATTCTCTCTGCATGTTTAGAAAGATACAGAACTTACTAGGGTAGTATAGGTACTAACCAATTCATTTTTTTTCCTCCCTCAAAACTGTGTCAGAAGTGAAGGAATATTTGTTTTCATTCTATATTGTAAATTACTTAAAATTTGGAATAGTAAGCACGTTATATTCCTCATGTACTGGTAGACTGATAGGTATCTCACTTGAAAATACCTGATGTGTTATTAGTTGCCAAAGTGCTTGTTGAATGAATTAATTACCAGGAATTACTACTTAGTAGAAATTTATAAAAAGCTGTTAAAGAGAAGAGTTTATATAAATGTCTAGATCAGACTCTGGGACTCAATTTTTTAAGCTCTAATCATTTTCTTGGTTATTCTTATTTATTCCGCTTTTGAAAGTTATATAAATAGCATGTATTCATTGTTAAAAATGCAGAATGTTAAAAAGAAGTAAATTATTCATAATCCTACTACCCCAAAATGATATTTTTTGTGTAAACATTTTGTTATATATACTTTCAGATTTTATTTTATTCAAACATATGCAATCAGGCCTCTATATCCAAGGGTTCACATTTGGAATTCCACCAACTGTAGATTGAAAATATTTGGGAAAAATTGCATCTGTGCTGAATGTGTATAGTCTTTTTTCTCTTGTCATTATCCCCTAGATAATACAGTATTACAATTGTTTACATAGCATTTGCATTGTACTAGGTATTATTTATATCATACTAAATAATCTAGAGATGACTTGAAGTATGCAGGGATATAAGTGTAGGTTATATGTAAATACTATGCCATTTTCTTTAAGGAACTTGAGCATCTAAGCATTTTGGTATCATTGGGGGTGGGGGGGTCCTAAAGCTAATCCCCCATGGATATTATACTTAATTGTGTTTCCTTACAAAAATATAGCCTTGTGTTCAATCATATGTGCCTAATTGTACTTCTAACAGCTGATTTCACACATCCTGTATCTGTTTAGAGCTCCTGAAAATATTTTTATTTGCTGCCTTCATTCCTCTCCTCCCTTTTGGTCTTTAACTCACTCCCACCCTCTGCAGCTCTTCTCAGAGTCTTTGACCTCCTTTTTCCTAAATCCAGAGGTTAGTTCTCAGCTTACATTTTACTTTACCTGTCAGAAGTATTTGAAACCATTTTTCACTTCCTTATATGGGCTTTTTGTTTTCCTCCTACCTTACTGCTCCATCTTCTCAGATACTTTTACTAATTCCTCTCCAGTTTCATGTCACTAAATGAGCACGTTGTCTTTAAGGGCTTAGTTTAGACTTCTTATCCTTAGGTGATCTGATTCAATCTTAGAGCTTTAAATACTGTCTATATACTGATGACTGGAATGTTATCTCTGGGTTGAGTTTCTCTACTTAGATATTTAATAGATGTTTCAAAGTTAATATGTTTGAAACCATCCTCCTCATATATGTTACACACAAGAAACGACTATTCCTTCTCTCTCTTTTTTTTTTTTTTTTTTTTTGTGTGTGTGTGTGGGGTAACTGGGGATTGAACCTAGTGGCACTTAACCACTGAGCCACAGCCCCAGACTTTTTTTTTTTTTTAAACTTAGAGACAGGGTCTCACTGAGTTGCTTAGAGTCTCACTAAATTGCTGAGACTGTCTTTGAACTTGCAATCCTCCTGCTTTAGCCTCCAAGATGCTGGATTACAGGCATGTGCCATTGTTCCTGGCTCTCTAACTCATTAAATGGAAATTTGGCAGTTTTAAACCAGAAACCTTGAAGTCATTTTATACAGTTTGGTTAAAATCATTTTATACAGTTTGGATTCTCTGAAAAGCAGACTGAGACAAAGATTAGTAACTGTAAGTTTAGTGCTCTTAGGATCAGCAACTACAGAAAGAAAGAAAAAGAAGGATGGAGGCACAATTTAGGCTGCAGTTTTGTCCTAATAGATCCCATAGAACCTTCAAAGCTAGGATGGTTCATTATGGTTATCCCAAGTTGGGAAGGGTCTATGAGACTAAATGATATTACGTGGTAAATGAATATAGGCAAGTCCAAAGACTGTAACTTAAAGAACTACAATGCTTCTACCCTCTTGTCAACCACTCATTAGATACAGCCTACCCCAGGAAGAGGGCATGAGATCAACTTTTTTCAAATAAAGCCACTCCTCAAGGGTCTGAGAGCTGAAACCTCTCTGCCAACTGCAGCCCCAGCATCTAAGGACTTAAATTTTTCACTCCTGAATGGGGTTCTGGACAATGTACAATGTTGTCCTCTACATCATTGATAATTCTTCTCTTTTTGTCATTTCCTATATTCAGTCTATCAGGTAAATTTTAGTTCTGCTTTTAGAATATATTCAGAATCTGTCTGCTTTTCACCATCTTTTCTGTTATACTATTTTGTTGGTCCATACCATTATCAGCTCTTGCCTGTTTTATTGTTATGTTCTGTTAACTGATCTGCTTCAACCATTGCTCCTTACTATTGGCCACACAGTAATTAGAGTGATCTTTTCAAAACAAAGTCACACTGTATTACTCCAGTGTTCTGAACAGTTTCTCCTTCCGCTTAAAATAAAATCCTATCTTCTCATTGCTTCACAATTGGCCCCCATTGCTTTTCTGTTCCTCCTCTCCTCCTAGTTCGCACCTCTTCAGCCATATTGACCATTCAGTCCAGTTTCCCAGCCTCTCTTGGTGTGCTTGTCTGCTATTTTGATACACTCACTTTCTTTCTCAGCCAGAAAAAGTGTCTGCCATGTCAACATAAATGACTTGCTCAAGGTTATTCAATGAGAAAGTATACCTCAGAGCTCTAAGTTGAGGCATTTTGCTTCTGCAGATCTCTTGTTCCTTCAGTTATATTTGAGTGCAAAAAAATTAATGTGTTTTAAAGTGAAGAAATTTTGTTAACATTTTTAGTGTTCCTTTTGGCTACAGTTTCTTTTTTTTTTTATTTTTTTATTGTTGGCTGTTCAAAACATTACATAGTTCTTGATATATCATATTTCACAATTTGATTCAAGTGGGTTATGAGCTCCCATTTTTACCCCATATACAGATTGCAGAATCACATCAGTTACACATCCATTGATTTACATATTGCCATACTAGTGTCTGTTGTATTCTGCTGTCTTTCCTATCCTCTACTATCCCCCCTCCCCTCCCCTCCCTTCCCCTCCCCTCCCCTCCCCTCTTCTCTCTCTGCCCCCTTTACTGACATTCGTTTGTTGGCTACAGTTTCTTGAAAAGGATGATTGTTTAGTGCTTTTCCCCCACAATTTCAAGTCAACTTCTAGAAAAATGCATTGCTGTGACTTTGTTATGTGATGGGATTGAGGTTATGTTACTTCATGCATGGAACTAATTATTTCTTGCTCTTTTCTTTCCTGTACAGAGCCTTTCGTCCTACTATAAAGGAGGATTTGAACAGAAAATGAGCAGGCGAGAAGCTAGTCTCATTTTAGGTGTAAGGTAGTATGCTGCATATGTATTTTTATTTTATGACTAAGATTGTCTTTAAAAAGGGAAAAATGTTACAATAAGGTTATACTTATATTTATAATTACAAGTAGAAGACAGAGGAGAAGACCAAATCTTTACAGTTTAAAACTTTAGTTCTAGGAGAACCCACTGGCACAGGCTTTTAATCCCAGCAACTCTGGAGGCAAAAGCAAGATCACAGGTTCTAGGCCAACTTAACAAGACTCTGTCTCAAAATAAAAATGAGTAAATAGGAAGGGTTGGGGATGTAACTTAGTGGTGAGCACCCCTGGGTTTGTTGGTAGCAATTAGACATGAGCAATGGAATGTTAATCAGTAATCCAAGAGCGGTCAATGTGATTGTTTCTACATCTATAAGATGGATGACTATAACCAACTTTAAGGTTTTCTTTCCTTTACCTAGGTTTCATATATGTACAAAAAGACCCTGTATCGGGGGTAAACATGTGTAGGAACAATAACTACAAATACTACATGCATCACAAGGGAAAGATTGATGCCTTTGTTGGAAAAGACCATGGCAGCCACTGGCTGGTCAACAAAACCAAACTAGTTTCAACTGGCCTGAGTGACTGAAAGTTAGCTTTGCCTTATTATAATGTCATTTACATTTTATTGTAATTGTGCTTTTGATCCTTCCTACCCTGTGAGTTTCCATGCAGGTACTTATGGGTAATGGGCATATGCATGGAGATACAGTTTTATTGTCTATACAAGTGTTAATCATAGGGAATAGAAGGAATAAATTACACGATCCTGTTTAAATAATGATAAATTTTAGAGGACAAAGGTGCTAATGGTCTATCTCCTTAGAGACAACCTACTTGCCTTCTCTCTCTTGAGAGTATACTATCTTTCAATAAACTTTGACTGTTTCTGCTATAATCTATCTATCTTGCTTGAATTCATGTCTTTTGGGGACACAAGAACCAAAGGGCAGGACACTATGAACCATCAATTATTAGGTTCATTCATGCAAAATGAATGAATGAATGAATGAACGAACAAACTTCAGTTCTCAGAGTATGCCCCTCTTGCCGCTTAAAAAAAAATCATCTAAAATTGTGGTGTTCTTTGTTGTTGTTGTTTTTTTAACAAGGAACCATTATATTTGAATTACAAAGTTTCAAATCAGTTCATCAAAATATCCCTCATTGTAACACTGAATTCTCTCTGGATTCAGTTTTATAATTTTGACATATACATAATTATACTGCAGGTTCTTTTTCACAATTCTTTTAAAAAAGTTTTTTTTAGTTGTAGATGGACACAATATCTTTATTTATTTGTTTTTATGTGGTGCTGAGGATTGAACCCAGTGCCTCACACATTCGAGGCAAACCCTCTACCACTGAGCTACAGCTCAACCCTCACAATTCTTTTTGTACTTCTGCAGTTTGACATCTTGCATATTTTGTTGCACTTGTTTCACCTTAGTGTCCATTTAATGTCTAATTTTAGTATAGGAGAAAGTTATTGATTTGTGTGATTGCTGTATGATTATGATTTAATGTTAAAAATATTTTCCCTCACATAAATTTACAAGCAACTGTATTCATTTGTCTTCCTTGTATTCCATTAGAGCCCACTCTAAAGTTTTTGTGGAAGTTGATTATATAATCTACAAAAAAATCTTGTGATTTAATCAATATGATTAAGTAGAACTGATGATTAAAGTCATATTAACAAAAAAAAAAATTAATCTTTTGTAAATCAGTACAGTTTTCAAACCAAAACATGTTATATTTTATGAACTGGCAAAAAAACAAAAAGGGGGTGATGGTGTCCTCAGTTTAACTTGTTGCTTTATTTAAATCTAAGAGATGAGAATTTTCTTGTCAGAGGATTAAAAATAAGGAATAATACTGACCAGGGGAGGCAGATTAGAAAGTTAGATTATATCCCTGACTATTCCTTGCTTTATATTATTCAGAATGGCATTGTTATTTTTCTTAAACTTTTTGGACTCTCATAACATCCCATTCCTAGTCTTGAGATGTGATTGTAAAACACATTATAAATCCAAGCATAAAGTTTTTTAAGGGTAATAATTTAATGTTATCCAAGGAATCTCATATTTATAGTAGTTGCTTGAATTATTGAATTTGCTTAAAATGTGTGATTATAAAGTTTTATTCTATTGAACTGAAAGCTATATAAAATTCACAAGGATAAATCAGTGATTCCGAGCACAGACTCTAGTATCAGGTGGATCTGGGTGTCAGTTTTACCACCTAAATTCATGACCTCAGTTTATTCATCTGTAAAATAGATTAGTTTCTACTGCATAGATATTCTGTAAAGAGTAAATTATTAATATATATATAAAATTAGTTTTAGCTTTTCTGTACTTCATTTTCTTAATTTTTGAATTGGAATTAATATTTTATTCTGATTGATAAGAATAAGAATGATACAATGCTATCTTGCAATTATCAGATACTGAGTAAATGTTGACCCCTCTCTTCTTATCTCTATCATGAATGCAGATGCTAAATATTTCTCTTTAACACATTAAATGAAAAGATGAGACTTATCTGCTTTCTTTTTTCCTTTTTTATGATATAATTAATGCCACATTGTTTATTGCTTATTTTAAAATTCTTCCTTTTTTATTTTATTATTATTTTTTTAAATACACCACAATAGTGGAATACATTACAATTCTTATTACACATATAGAGCACAATTTTTCTTATCTCTGTATATTAAGTATGTTCATGCCGACTTATGTGCTTTCCACTGACTCTGTCTTTCCTTCAAGGCAGTGTTGATTATGACAAGGTACTTCAAGATGTGAATATGTTGATGTGGTTTTGTTTTTTTATGGTCATTGACTCTAAACTATATAGACTATGTAACAAATAGATAAAGGCAAAATGGAGCCGATCTGTCGGTGCGCTATTAAAGAAAAGTATTGTGTGCTACTGAAAGATTTTGTACATTCTTACCTATTACATTTAATTGTGATTCTTTGTAAAATGTGTGTTTGAGTTCTCGCTTTGTTTTTCTTTGCAGAAGAATAGTTTTTTGTACTACAACTCTTATCTGCAACAAAAAACCTAAAATATTTTACCGGGCTTCCCAGAAAACTATTATTATACTTGGTATTATTTGAAATTATACACATCTGTGATTTTCAAACTTTCTAAAAACATCTGTAAGACTGTTTAATTGTTAAGTCAGGTGCACTCATGCCTATAATCCAGGTGACTCTGAAGTATGCGACAAGAAGATTGCAAGTTTGAGGCCAGCCTCGGCAACTTAGAGAGATCCTATCACAAAATAAAAAATAAAATTATTCAGCCATTCTGAATAATATTAAGCAAGGCCCCTGAGTTCAATCGCCAGTTCCACCACTGCCCCCCCCAAAAAGCCCTAAATGTTTAAAATCCCAATGTTTTTTTTTTGTTTGTTTGTTTTTGTTTTTTTAAAAAGATGGCACCAGAACTGCTTTATTTGCCACAAGGTTGAAAAACACTAGTCAGTTTGACACTGCCCCCCTCCCCACTATCAGCCAAATGTATTCCAGGGAGCATAGTTTGAAATCCCTGATCTAAGTAGCATGATATTGAAAATTACATTTTCAATTTCATGGTGAAATTATATACCAGAGGTATATCACAACTATATTTAATTTTTATACTGTTTCAAATCTAGAATTTTTCCATCTTTAATCATTACAACCACAAAAACATGTATTAAAATGTAGTAAGGTCCCAGAGATTTAAGATAGTAATAACAAAGGGAATAAGCCCTGTAGGCAAATGAGAATATTTTCCTCACCCTCAAAGCTCACCACTAGGAGTCTGATAATTATTATCTTAAAGACAGAATGTTTTGAATTGCCATACTTGTGCAGATGAATTTTCCTTTCCAGTATTTTTTACTTTAATCTAGTTTGGTGATTGACATCTCAATGTATATAAATACTTTATGGAGGTTTTTTTGTTTGTTTTGCAATAGTAGAGATGGAACCCAGGGCCTTATGACTTCTAGGAAGGTTCTGTACTGAACTACATCCCCAACCCTTTTCATTTTTTATTTTGTGAAAGGGTTTTGCTAAATTGCCAAGGCCAGCCTTGAACTTGTGAATCTCCTGTCTCAACTTCCCACATAGCTGGGATTACAGGCATACGCCCAGCCTTTATGAAGTTTTATGTACAAAACCATGTGTACTGTTATTTTATAGGCAAAGTAATTGATTTTCAAGGATAATCTTGATGGATTTTCAGACTTTGTTTTATGTATCCAATTAAAACAATGCCCAGAGTGAGAAGTGACATTCTGTATAGCCTCAAAAAAAATGTACAATAGAAATTTGGTTTGTACCAAATTTATGTCTTCATTATCTAGTGATTAGCTTTATAAGATAGATTTTTAAAACTCTCCTTGTTAACTTTATTTTTTTGTAATACAATAGGCTTTTATAATGTGAGCTTACTAATATAGAGCTTTTATTCCTTCATGAAATTTTCCTTTTTACATTTTATTTGTGGGGGAGGTTATAAAATACACTAAGCACCCATTGCATATGTAATCCTAGATACTATTTTAAGAGACAAATCAGAGCTATTTCCTTTAAGTAATTTAGAATCTACCTAAGGAGACATGTCTAATATATGCAGATCTAGAAAACATCTAATAAAGGAAGAAAGTGCTAGGGAGCACCAAAAAAAAAGGGAATGTAAATGTAAATTAGCCACAGGAAACTAAATTGTAGTGGAATTTTTCAGAATGATGTGTTTTTTACTTCTTCTCTCCCTACCTTCTCCCCTTCCACCTCTCCCTCCTCCCACTTCCCCTCTCTCTGCACCCCCTCCACCCATTGAACCCAGGGGCACCATACACTGAGTTATATCCCCAGCCCTTTTTATTTCTTATTTTGAGACATTGTCTCATCAAATTGTTTAGGGCCTTGCTAAATTGCTGAGGCTAATCTCAAATTTTGCAATCCTCCTGCTTCAGCCTCTCAAGTCGTTGAGATTACAGGCATGTGCCACCATATCCCATGCCTGGAATGTTTTTTGTTTCTTAATAATTGTCAGTTAAACAATATATAGTGTTCATTGTTGCAGGGCCTGACCTAGGACCCTCATGGAGGAATGCTTATCTTGCTCATTGTACAGCAGGAAATCCTAACATAGAACACTATGTTTTGGGACAAAGTGCTGTCAGAACATGGCAAGCACCATGTCCTTGATCCTTTGACAAGATGTTATTCCCCTGTTGGTACAAGGTCAGCCCACGTGGCAGTTTCTGAACTCTTGGTGTCTGGACTCCCTTAATATGATATGTTGTGATTCACCTCTGGCCTATCATGACTGTTATATGTAAATTGGCACATACCTAGTATAAAAGCTATTTTTGCTGTGCAATAAGGCAGACACAGTTCTCTGAAACCATCTCCAGAAGGGTTTCTCCAGGCCCTCAAGCTCCCCACAGTCAGAGCTGAATGGGCAGGCTCCTTAGCAGTTCATAGCTATGGTACAATGTCTAATGGTTACTTTCTCAAAATTCTGTATTCTTTGTAATCAAACAGTATCTGATTGTCTCCCTGGGACATACCAAGAAGCCCAAAGGTAAGTTTGAAACTGTCCCCCAGAAGACTTCTGTAAACAGCCCAAAGGAATATTCTTAAGTCCTTATATGAAAAGGCTTACTCATTTTATGCATGGAAGAATATTTTATGTGAAATTTAGCCATTAATAGCACATTTTAACATGCTTGGTCATCTGCTGTTTACTCTCGGGAAGTTAGAGGTAACTAGAAACTCAAGGATTCACAACTGATAGCCCAGGGGAGGAGGCATTGTTCAAAATAGACTGAAGATCTTAAGCAGCATCTAGTTCCATTTAGAAGAAGAGCAACCCAACCTCTGTAGACTTTGAGATTTTTTGCTTTAAGTTGATACTAAATACTGAATCATTAAAGAAATATTAAATTAGAATATTTATACTACATTTTAAAAGTATGAAATGTATATTTTATAAGCATCCTTTATATCCATAATACAACTACTTTTTAACACTGTGCTAGGTTATTCTAATATTTTTACTTATATTAACTAATTTATCTTTAATCCTGGAAGGCAAGTTTTATTAAGTGCATTTTACATATGATAAAATTATAACTCATACTGAGTAAGCAAGATGAATTTCATGGTTAATGATTAGTTGGAATTAGGATTGTGAACTTGGATCTGGATAATGCTAAAAATACATGCTTTTAGCCACCATATGTGGTTCATCCGTACAAATTAAATTATTTTGAGCTTTACAACAACTATCCTGTACTTTAAGTAAGCTATTATTGACCCCATTTGAGGCCCAGAAAAAGTTAAGTAGCTTAAATAAGATTGTATAGCTATTAAGTAGCAATAATAGGATTTCGTTGTTAGTGTTGATTTTTTTCCATGCTCAGAAATTGTACTAATGAGAAATATTTTCAATAATGGATAAATTAGGTTTTACTAAAATAATTTGAGGTTTGTTTGACTTTCTCCTTTAACTTTATTTACAGTATTGGCTCTAATAGCCAAGTTTTTCCTACAGGTTTCTCACAAAGCTAAATGAACTATGAAATATCAGCAGTTTTGAGATCCTTTGTTGAAAGATAATAAAAGCTCACTATTACAGAGGACATAGTCGTGCCAGGCACTATTTTAAGCACTATGTAGGCATGAATTCATTTAATTCATACAATTGCTTTGTGAAGAATATGTTGTTGCTAGCCTTTTCAATGAGAAAAACTGAACACAAACATATTCCTTTGGCCTATTTACAGAAGTCTTCTTTCAAACTGAACACAAAAATTTGCCCAAGAAAATTCAGTATTTTGGCTGTGGAATCCAGATACCTTATCTTCCATACAATGTATGATGCCTTCCTGAAAAATAAACTTACGAGTATAATCTGCATACTATGACCCTTCTAATTAATATGTGTTTTATTTTTTTAACTGAGAATAAGGACTGACCTCATAAAGGAGTGAAGAAAAACACGTGGTATTGAATCAATGATTTATTTTGGTTTGTGTAATTAAGTGAAAAGCTGTAATTTTGTATTTGTCCACAAGATGGTGAAATTCTCATTAGTTTTTAATTTCCTGAAATTCATATAAATCATTAATTTATAATCTGCATTTGGCATTATTTATTACAAACACTTTAATTCCTTTATAGCCCCTCTGCTGGCAAGGCCAAGATTAGAATGGCTCACAAGAGAATCATGATTCTGAATCACCCAGATAAAGGTAGGTAGGATTTCTATTTGTCATAATTTGTGGATCAGAATGTGCTGCAAATTCCTTTCAGTTTAGTCAAACTCATTCATTACAAATGGCATATAGTTGAGTTAGAAGTTTATGTGTCACATGTATTGAGATGATGTTGATAAAATAAGCAGACCTTTAGTGTGGAGTTCAGTGACTTCCAGTAGTGGATTTGTATGATTGGCTTTTAAGACCTTCCTTACTAGCATTTACACATGAGTACCTAAATCTGGTTGATACTTTACCATTTTGATCAAGAAAGAGAAAACATGATTTGGGCACTATGAATTATAGATATTTAACATAACACAAAAGCACAAGATTTAGAGGATCTCCTCTATATCTCTGAATGGAATATATTATAGAAGATTCTGAATTTTTAAATTTTATTCTGGAATACTCTGAGGCTGAGCCATTTGTTTTTAACTGGCCAGGTTTATAATGTAAACTTATCTTACAAAAAGACAATTATTATAACTTTAACTACACTACAGCTGCTTGATAGAGAAAGCCCATATGTTCATTACTGTTTCTGCTTTAAAATAACAGATGGTAGAAAGTTGCACTGTATTTCAGAAGTCAAAGGGTGGGGGTGCGAGTGAAGGGTTTCTTGTATTTACAGACTTTCAGTTTTGTAATTATTTAGAAAAAAAAAATTAAAAACAAATTTTGGATTCCTATTCATCCTGACACCAAAATATGGCATTCTTTTTCAGCTTTCTCCACTTAATTACTTACTATAAAAATTCTTTTCACTGAACATCATCTCTGTTGGTTTTTGCACTTGCTGTTCTTTAGTGTGAATAAACAAGAGTATAAACTTTGGAAAGAGGGTTTGCTTAAAATTTTTAAACAGCTTCAATAGTTACTGAAAGATCCACTCAACTAATTTACTTTGCATTGTGCAGTTTCAGAGTAATTGAGAAAGAAGTGTGTTTAAGTGCCTCCTTGAAGCCTTCTGGCTCCTAAACATCCTCTGTTCCTTGCAGGTCAAGTGAATGCCCTTGGCTCTGATTGATTGCAATAGGATCAAGCACTCATGTCTTTCAGCTGATTGACAAGTTGTTGATTGTGCCTCTTAGCAAGGAGTCAAATTCTAAAATGTATTTGAGAGAGAACATGTATCTTAGGAGCCAGTGGTGTTTAAAGAATTACTTGATTTTTTTTTCTGAGATAGTGTATTTATTAGAGATGGGATTCTTGACGATGGCATACTTACTAATATCTTCTTGTCTGACCCCATGTGGGTGTGAGTGAATGGACCTGCAAGCTGGAAGCCAGCATTGGTCTCTGGTTTCTATCTTCCAGCAAGCATTATGACCTTGAACATTCCCTTAACCTCTCCAAATGTGAGTTTTATCACCTATAAAATAAAGGAATTTATTTATAAAAGGAATTTATTTATAAAGTCCTTTTTGTTTGCACAATTTAATGTAATAATCTTTTATATCTATTTAATTAATGAAGAACCTGTACTATGTTTCTGTTGAGATCACAGTTTTAAGAAAGACACTCTTTATCTTTTCAGATTATTGTACCCTCTAAAAATGTGTTGACATTATAGATATTTTTTCTGTGTAATTGTCCATTCATCCAAAATTTAAAATATTGGAGCTTCAGAGATTTCATGGACTTCCTAAATCCCATCCATATGCTCAGTTAGGAGGTAAATTCTTTTCTGCCTCTGCTCTAAGAATAAAGTATACAGAATTAAGGGATATTGGACCCTAAATGTATATGATGCAGTTGGAATGATATAAATGTGAAAGTGTGTTTTGAGGAGAAAGATTGTTTTATTTTGAATGGGAAGAAGATAACAGATTTTAAGAAAAATGTGTCATTGTCCTTGGATAGAGAAAGCCGGGAGTATTGAGGGGAAAATGAGAATGGACAACTCTTAATTTTGCCCCCTTTTAAATAATTATTCACCATATTTGGTTTGGCCAGCTCACCACTAAGTCTTACAAGTAGTTACAGGTAGTTAAATTCTTTACCCAGTGCTTCTGAAATTTAAAAAACTGTTAATTCACCCCATCGTTAATAAATTTTCTGTTGGTTTTGCTACCAGCTGGTAGAATAAATTTGGAACTACGAATGTGTGATCAACTATAATTTGTTACACATTTCATTATCAGGTTGTACAAAGAAAGTGACACCAGAAAATTAAGTGTGGGAAATGGCTGAAAATAAATTTTTTGCAACTAGTTTTAAATGAGCATTCAGATGTGTTTTGGTAAAAATTATAATTTTGCTGTTTCAACTTAGTAAGATAAAAAATTAGATTGCTTCTTTCCTTACGTTGTCAAAGAAAGAGGCTGTTATAAAAATCAGTGATTTAATATTAATAACTGATGAGGGAAGGACAAAGCAGGTAAATTTGAAAAACTGTAGATTTCTTACAGGCTGTTTAATCTAGTGCTACTCAAAGTATAGTTTTTCTATTCATGCCAGCCTACAGTTTGTTACCTATGTGTAATAAGTTAAAAACATTTAGAAACCTTTATAATTTGATATACCTGTGATGTTCAGATGTGTGATACATGTGTTGGTCCACTACAGGTTGAAAATTAAAGAAAAGTACTTCTTCACCATGGTTTGAGAGACACTGATCTAATCAATGCTGCCTCCTGAATCAGGGCTTTGTGCTCCATCAGTGGGGAAAATGGCCTGTTAGCTTTTTTTTTTTTTAAGATTTAGTAGAGGGCTTCTCAGTCTATAAGGCAAGCCCACTCCACTGGTAGCAGCTCTGCTTAATAGAAAAATGTTTTCTATGTTTAAATAAAATCTGCCTCCCTACAGTAGAGATTCTCAGTCTTTTTCCATTTATACACTTTTCAATAAATATTCAGTACTTTCATTCTTCTTTAGTAGTGCTTGAATCAAAATTAAATTAAATATTGGAATTAAACAAGTCAAAGTAAATATGTTTTTGAATGGATTTTTTTCCTTGATTACTCGCATTGAAGAAGCAGCTAAGTTTCACATGAATGCCTGATAAAAATATAATACAGTTTATCATAGTATATTACATTTAAAGTATGTGTTATAAATGTTTAGAAAAAGAAGAATGTGATCACCAAAAGTCAACATGGAATCACTAAGAAAAAGTGCCTAATTAGCTTGATTTTCTTTTTTGATAGATGTACTACTTTTTTTCCAGAGGGCTTATCTTTTCTCCCTTCATTTTAACATTTTAATTAGATTTAAGGCTTTGTATTTTAGTTACTTTTTGTTGTTGCTAAAGAGTTCATTATGTTTATCACACATTGATTTCCTTTGATAAAAATAAGATTAAAAATAAAGTACATGACTTGTTTATCTTTATAACCTATAAAATAAATAAATAGGAAAAAGGAGGAATACAAAAAATTGTAAACAAAACAATTGGAAATGATAACAAATACATGAAATGATCATGTTAAAAATTTACCGATATCAAACAACCCAAAACTGTTTTATTTTTGTTTTTCAAACATTAGTTCTTTAACATCTACCATGTGTCAGACATTGTTAAATCTTAAGACTATATAATTCTGGGCTGGGGATGTGGCTCAAGCGGTAGCACGCTCTCCTGGCATGCGTGCGGCCCCGGTTCGATCCTCAGCACCACATACAAACAAAGATGTGTCCACCGGAAACCAAAAAATAAATATTTAAAAAAAAAAAAGACTATATAATTTTGATATAAGACAACTGGATTTCTATCCTCATAGAGCATGCATTGTAATGAAGGGGCAAGCAAAACCCAAGAAGCCCTGTTTCAGGTTGTAATGCCTGCAGTTGAGTCTACTGGCCTAAAATGTAGAATAATATGAGAGAGGCACCTTTATGTAAGTTGACTGGAAGGGAAGTGGTCTCTGCAGAGACCTACAGAATACAAAAGAGCCAGCTATGTGAAGAGTGCTAGGAAAGTATAAGTGCAGAGGCTCTAGACAGAAAAGAATTTAGTGTGCTTAAGAGCTAAAGGGTGCGGGGGCGGGGGGGATCTGAAGAAAAAAACTAGTGTGATGGAAGTGTAACAGACAGAAGGAGCAGTAACATGAAATGAGATGATGTCCGGATTTTGAAAACTAGGTGTGCATTATGACAATTAGAACTGGTGGTTCTATATAGTATGTGAACTTGTTCTGTATTCAAACGGAAGTTACTTCAGCTTTTAAGCAATTTACCTTTTAAGAAACTAATTCTTAATCTAAATTTGTCTATTTATTTATTAAAATATTAAACTTGTTATGTTAATATCAATTACATGATCCTTATGATAATTTCTGTGTCCCACAAAATTTTTTAATGTGAGTCAAATGGCATTGTTTTATATTTTTGCACATCTCTAATACGTGGTTTAATTGAAAACACCTTAGAGTCTCATATCAGTTTCTCCACTCATTCTCTTATGTTTCCACTTATTCTCTTTTGTTTAAACATAAAGAATATGTGACTTCACACAAGTAGGTAGTTGAGAAAGGGAAACAGTATTTTGTCTTTTCAGATAGTTGGCAGCTTTTGTTCCTACTAAACCAGAACTCAACAAGTGGTAGTTTCTTAAGATAAGTTATATGTGGAATCTGAAACAATACCAGTGAATTTTTAAATTCGTTTTAGGTTACATTAAAATCTACTGGTCTATCATGCAGTTTGAATTAATTTTTTTACCCAAATGTGATTTTGTAACATCCTTGATCAGTCATTCAGAGAATATTATTTCACTTAGAGTTATAGATCATCCAAATGTTAATTCATTTCATTGTGTCAATATTTCTCAAGATGTATTCCCTCCATTAGCCTTAGCATCCCCTGGGAACTTACTAGATATGCAAACTTCTGGGTTCATCCTAGATCTACTGAATTAGAAGGTCTGGGGTTGGAGCCCAGCAATTTGTATTTTACAAGCCTTCCAAATAATTCTTATATTTAGTAAATGAGAACTGCTGCTCTGGAAGTTCCAACTGAGGTCCTAGGGTGTTTGTTGGGACAGGGTCTAG